TATATATATATTCCATTCAATGTATATTTTCAATATATTTATAAAAAACTTAGCATATAAAATCAAAATATATTATTAACTAGATAGTAAAAAAATTAAATATATATTTATTAAAATTTGTAAGAATGAAATTAAAGGTAATAAAATTTATGAATATCATTTTAAATAAAAATTATATTAAATATTTAAATGTTATAATTTTCTTTTTAAATCATTCATATATATATTTTTTAATTTAATTTATAAATTTTTCAATACACCATTATCATTTAAATAATATATGGTAATTAATGATTAATCTTAAAATAAAATAGACAAAATTAGTATTTTCATACTCTAATTCAATGATCAAATTCAATTTCATCCTTTAATTTTATTTTAATTTATTTTGGTCTTAATTTTTAAAAATATTTTAATTTTTTTTATGTAATTAATATTTTTTATATTTTTTTAACAAGTGTATTATTTTATACTATTCATCATTTGTTTTTTAAATCTTTAATTTTGTCTTCTTTTTCATGTTTATGCAATATTGTCGTTAGATTATGATTGCTTTAACTCTTCTCTAATTTTACTTTATTCATTATTTTTACCATATATCTCCTCTGAGGATTTTCATTTTCCCTTAAGAACCAAGAAAGTGAAGAAGCTTAAAATGTTAACCACACCCAATATTATCAATGCATTCTTCATATCAATACATGCACGGTATCCTACATATGTTTTGCTTTTGTCTTTGTTTTGTGTTGAATACAAGAACCCAAATGAACTAACTATAAGCTCAAGCTTCCTTGTTATTAATGAAATTTCATGGCATGTGGATCAAGATCTAGCAAGAAAAATTTTAAGTGGGATAACAAAATGTCGTAGCACTAGGTCCAAAATTTGCAAAAAACGAAAGTGAAGGAATACATCACTACAAATCCTATCATAGTATCCCTCTGAGATCTAATGGTTATATAGAATGATAAGAACAAACATGAAAACAATCATCAAGTAGAAACTCATCAATTGAATAACAAATCTTTCAATTTCATCAATGAAAGCTTATGTAAACCGGTAGTCTAGAACCGTACTGCATAGAGAAATAAATGAGTCATTGCAATTTTGTAAACCTCCTTAAGGGCATTCATAGAGTTTGTAGGAGGAATCCAACTAAGTGCATTGAAAATATTCTTCTGGAAAAGGTCTTAGCTATAAAATGCAATATCAAACAAGAACCATGTATTTGTTGTACCAAGTAGACCTAGTTTGTGTTTTTTAGAGTATCAGCGCAATGCGGAAGCATTGAATCTGAATCAGTCGAAAACAAAGAGAAGCAAATAAAGTAACAAGAAATAACACACAAGGTTTAACGTGAAAAATTCCTGTCAATGTGAGAGATAAGAAAAAATCACTGGTGCTCGCGAGCAAAGTTCCACTATGTAAAAGGGAAAGTACAATAATTCCTCTTATAGTAACGAGGACAAAGAACAATATTTTCTTTAACAAATACCCTCTCAAAATTGAACAAGAATTCTCCCAATAATACACTCCAATATGTGTTACAAAGTATATTTCTTACAGTTGGTTTTATATGTATATATAGTCTTCGTTCCTCAATTCTTAATGGTGAAGCAATGTAACACGTGGTAAGGCTCATGCAAATAAGTAGGAGGTGTGAAGCATGCAGCATGTGTGATGTGTAATGCTTGGAGGCAATCTTCACCATTAAGGACTTAATATTGGCCACAAATTAAATAGCTTATAGATGAAGGAAGTTGAATGAGAGCCACATAATCCAACAATCTCCACCTGGCGCATGGGTCCTGAAATCCTCTCAAACTCCTCGATGTAGTCTAACACTGTCCCAATTTATTTCAGACGCAACAGCGGCCCATAAGGATCCTTGATCACCCTTGGCTGGAAACGGTGCATAATGGCGTCGCGGAATCCTCTCCATGATGGAAACTAGTTTTGTTCTTCCCACACCTGGTACCAATACAGTGCCTTCCCGTCCAAAGCCAACAACACCACTTCAAACTTTTGCTCTGCTTCAATATCATTAATGCCAAAGTAACGTTCAATTTTTACAAGCCAGCCCAGAACATCATCGCCGGTAAAGACTGGGACCTCTATTCGCCGATCACGAGCATGACGCCGTGGAGGGCTCTCGTAAGCATAGTCGCGTTGCCGGTTGGGCCACGGAGGGCGCTCCTAGTGTTGAGGATGGCCATCAAAGGATTAAGGGGGCTCCTATCGTCGCGGTCTTGTGATCTCGAATCACGGCGCTCGTTGTGAGGTGGGGAAAAGGTGTGGTGTCACCCCTGATCACCTCTGAAAGCCCCATTCCAGCGGTCATTCGTGTCCACTCGGGAAGACGGTCGTCGTCGTGGTAGAGACCGGCCGCGCAAGCGACGACGTCGGTCGTTCTTCTCCTCCAGCAACTGCATCACACGGTCCAATTTTGTTCGCAGCTCAGCAACCTGATCCTCCATACTAGCAGCTTTCGCGAGATAAAAGGCCCACACAGCTCCCCACATCTAGAAGCTGTGATACCAATGATAGGAACACACACAAACAGCAGAAATAGTGCAGGTAGCAATACTCGAGTTAAGTATTTTTTGAGAGTTAAGTATTTTTTGAGAATGAAACTAGATATAACTGAATGCAAATTACAAGAGTAGGAATAGAGCACTAAGTAGCTCAAACACTCCAAAGCCCAATAACTAAAACTTCCATACCCTAAAACTCCTACCAGTTACTCAATAAATACTAGCATAACAGAAAATACCAAAACTATACCAAAACTACTCCTTAAATATTTCCCATAACAAAAATTATTTAATCTACTCCTAAAATCTCTTATTCCTTAATCAGCTCCTAAAATCTCTCATTCATCTGAATCCTCCAAGTTAGTTACAACTAATTTTCTGTTTTCCTTGAACCTCTCCTTGTATAAACCTTCCCATGAAACTGATTCTTTCCATAGAGTTGATTCCTATCATAGAGTATCAGCGCAATGAGGAAGCATTGAATCTGAATTAATCGAAAACAAAGAGAAGCAAATAAAGTAGCAAGAAATATAACACACAAGATTTAACGTGAAAAATTCCCGTTAGTGTGAGGTAAGAAAAAACCACGGGCGCTCGCGAGCAAAGTTCCACTATGTAAAAGGGAAAGTACAACAATTCCTCTTATAGTAACGAGGACAAAGAACAATATTTTCTTTCACAAATACCCTCTCAAAATAGAACAAGAATTCTCCCAATAATACACTCCAATATGTGTTACAAAGAATATTTCTTACCGTTGGTTTTATATGTATATATAGCCTTCGTTCCTCAATTCTTAATGGTGAAGCAACATAACACATGGTAAGGCTCATGCAAATAAGTAGGAGGTGTGAAGCATGCAGCATGTGTGACGTGTAATGCTTGGAGGCAATCTTCACAATTACATACTTAATATTGGCTACAAATTAAATAGCTTATAGATGAAGGAAGTTGAATGAGAGTCACATAATCGAACAATGTTCCCTGATGTAAAAGTAATACAGGCAAAATAAAATGGAACATTGCATAAAACTTGAGGAAAGAAGTGAAATCAAGATTTGAAGTAAAAAAGAAGCAATGAATAGTAAAAAATAATACACGTGACAGAAAAAGTAAAAAATATCAATAGAATTAACGCTTTTAATAAAAAAAGAACTTATTTAAAATATTTTTAAAATTTTAAAGATTAAAATAAATTAAAATAAAATTAGAGGATAAAATCAAATTTAACTCTTAAGTTAGATAACAAAACACTAATTTTACCAATAAAATTATAACATTTTAATATTTAACTTTACAAATTGTCATTTTCCTTATTCCTTAACTACAGTAAAATATAATTAAATGGAACTAATGAATAACGTTTTAAACATTGAATAATCACTGTAATTATTACACAGTTAATTACTTTAGTTAATGCTTATCTTCTTTGCTACAAATCATTTGACATACTCATTGACACTATAAAAGGAACATTAGCAATATACTATCTTTAACACATTTGTACCTATTAATTAATATTTATTTAAAACTACAAAATTACATTAAGTTTCACTTTTTTTCACTCTTAAATATTTTTCTATCGTACTCTTTTAGTTTTTAATAAATTTTAACTTTTATGTTAAATACATCGCAATAGTTAATGATTTAACGATAATTCAAGTACCAAAGCAATCGATTTTTACCACTTAAGGAATCAACGTGAAATTTTACTTGTTTCTTTTCCTCCCAGTGGATCCAGAATATAGACAAACAAAATAAGGATCAAGCTGCATATTTATATTAAAAGAAAGTTTCAGATTTTAAGATGTATGGCTAAAAGAAAACTGTTAGTTCTCATTCCCCCTTAAAACTCATCGAGTCCCTGATGTCTATTCCATTCGAATACGTGAAGTTAAAATTATCAAAATATTGAACAGGAAACAACTCTTCGTTCTCATTCCCGCTTTCCACCCATGCTACTTAAACTATTGTGCATGGGAGTAAAAACCCAAGTAAAATCTTCAAAATGGTTTAAATTGAAGCCTCTTAAGGGGATCCATTAGGCTTTTTCTGGCTGCTGTATTAAGCATGTGGAATAGAGTTTGAAACACCAAAAGACACATGATTACACAAACTGTGATAAAAGTGAATTTTCTCAACTGTGCAGATCATGCGCATAATTTACATATATAGCATGAAGTTCATCTAAAGTGAGTTCATTTCAATTAATGATGTATCTATCATTGATATAATTTAAAATGTATTTAGATCTTAAACCAGTAAAATTTAGTATATAACCATTTACTAGCTCACTTTTAAGATAAACTTTTAAAACTTGTTTGGAAAAAAGGAATTTTAGAGAAAAAAGGAAACATTTAATTTTATGATTTTTAGAATTAAAGATATAAAACAGATTTGCATAAAGTTGTTTTATTAATCATTTATTTATTATGATAAATAGTATACCATTCTCCTTTCCCTTTCAAATATTCCCCTCCCAAATATAAACTTTTTTCCATACATGTTGATGTATCCTGAATTTTAGTTAATATCACAATGTACTTTATATTAAATCAAGGGTAGATACACCTCGTCTCATGATCTATTATTTGTAACACTCATCCATTACTCGCTGTTTTAAATAAATTCATGGGGTATATGCTGGACAGCTTATGCAAGGTTGCTATCAGTCATCTCTAGTCTTGAGAGTGACAGGCTTGTTGGGTCTCGTAACATACTCCACAAGGTCACTGGATTTTTCTATGCTAACAAAAAGCGATTTCACTCAACATAGTGACTATTTCCCAAGCTCATTCAAAGATTATCCATTTTCAAAGTGCAGATCCACCATCAATAATCGAGGTCAGGTTTTAGGAGCTTGGGTTTGAGCAACGTTAATACTCCTGCACAGTTGTGTTTTATTTATGGCTTCCCTTTCATTGACAATTTAACCTTGCCAACAGACACTTGGGTCTCAATGAACAAGAAATTCTTTAAAAAAAAATGAATGCACAGGCTATTGAACACAATTTCTGAAAATGTTCAATTCCTACCAATTACACAGTTTTGGACAAAAAAATATTCCCCTCAGCAAGACCGATCATACTCTAATAGCTGACCTTTGTCAATGTAAGCAGGACTAGTTGCTTCAGAGATGCCGGCGGTGTGTATCTTTCTTCGTATATGCATCTTATGATAAGATTAGCATGCACAAAGGAGGGGAACTTGAGAAACTAGTTTAAGAAAAATACCTGTAGGGCTTCTAGGTATACTGTACAGAGCTTCCCCCATAATTAGTACAGTAATAGACAGGAAGTGGAGAGAAAAGTTACACCAGCACAAGCTCCCCTTCTGCTTCTTCTTGTTCCTGCTGCTCTGGCAGTCTCCCTTCCCGATATGGGAGAAGTATTCGCCTGATTTCTTCTGCACTAAGTGTCTCATACTCTAATAATGCATTTGCCAGTGCATGTAATGCCTTCTCATGCTGAAGAAATGTCAGACATCACCAGGGTTATGAATTTTCATGTGCTAGACAATAGTAGATTCTAAACATCACATTATTCTAAGCTAACAACTTTTATTAATCAATGTCATTCACACCAAAAAGTTGCTTCTGGCTCTAATTTTCCTGTGTCAGTGATCCCCAGTCTAAAGCAAACCCTAAAGCTTATTCCCACCAGTTAATCCTTTTTTAAAAATAAATAAGATCCACTTGACACTCGTATATTCTGATTCAAAAACTAACCACACTTCTACAGCAAGAACAAAAAGTGTTTTCGTCCATTAGTTTCTTTATTCACTGGAGATAAGTATCAAAACACAAAGAGCCAGACTTATTAGTGATTTAAATAAGTTGTGTTAATCTTATACACTGAATGCTCTCTTAGGCAAGACTTCTCGATTATTACCTTTTCGAGTTCAGGGAGAAGCATAGATTGAAATAGCTTGTATTCCTTCTAATAGATATTGTTGAGATCCCACATCAATTATAAATATGGCTAAAGTAGAACTTATGATAACTTGGACAATTCTCACCTCATTAGCTAGATTTCAGGATTAAGTTAGACCCAACCCAATTCCCTACCTGACCCCACAATTTTCCTTGAGCAATAGAAAAAATAGCCCTACAATCTCCACACTCCAAATGTACTGTCCTAGACATGAGGGAGGGTGATGAGATCCGACATTAACCACAGATATAGCCGATGTGGTTGAGTAAGCCTTTGTGGTTGAGTTACTATACACGAAATGTATAGTAACTAATGTCTTAGTGTTCTAGGCTAACATCAAACTTGTCCCAAAGTAATAACCTTGTTAGGTACAAAGAATTTCCACAGAATGTAACCATATTTAATGATCAAATGCCACTATTGGAAATTCATTCAAGTAGTGTTTGGCTCAGCTTATTTTAGGTTTCTTTTCTCCTTAAAAAAGATGAGCCAAAAATTATTTTTAAAAAAGCTTTTAAAGAAAGAAAGGCTCTTCTAAAAAAAGTTAGTTTTTAAGAGCTTTTGGCTTTTACTTCTCCTTTTTCTTCATTACAAAACCCAAGACACAAAAAACACTAAACCCAAAGTAACTTTTAAGCTAAAAAATTATAGAATTACCAAACAACTCTAAATTTTAAGCTCCTATTTTTAACTTCGGCAACTTCAATTTTAATGCAACTTTAAGCTCCAAAAAGTTAGGTGACACTCTACCTTAAACCTTAACTAAGGAGCTAAATTTGCATTAATCGTATACATTAAGGGCCTGTTTGAGGTTATTTTTAGTTTTTAAGTTTGGAAATTTTTAAAAACTTAAAATCCAGTTTTATGGTTTTGGTTTCAATTTATTTTTATTCTTTTTTATAACTTACAGTTTTCAAAGGCTTTCTTTCATATGATATAGAACTACCTGAGAGTTGAGAAGCATTACACTAACAAACCCCTTTTATGCCAACCATAGACCAAAATCTGATAACTACTGCATTTTTAAATTTTCAAAATATTAAAAAAATAGAGGAAACTTCCGGTTTAGTCCCCAATGTTTTTTATTGGGCAACTCAAATTGGTCCCTGAACAAAGTAATATTGCATCATAAACCCCAACTTGTGCAATCAGTGATCACATTTGTTTTGTCCCTATCATAACTTAGTTATTCTAACAAACACGATCATTTGGCACATCTGGATGGCACATGTGACATTTATTAATGATGTGGTAGTATGACGTGAGTAAGAACCCACAGTTTCTCTCCAACTGGATTCTCAAACACAACCCTCTTCTCACTCCATCCTCCTCTAACCATAAGTAGAAGCAATAGCAGCAATAGAAGACAAAGAGAAAGGGACTAATTTGGGAAATTTTTAGTTTCGGGTTGCAGGGACCAAATTAATGGATTTTGAGGATAATTATGAGCTCGCAGCCGCATCATCATTAAATGACACGTGTCACCCAAACGGCACTTAATGTGCCAAATCAGCATGCCCATTAGAGTAACAAACATCTGAATCAGAGCAAGGATGAATGTGACCAATAATTGCATAGGTTGGGCCATTGGCTTTACTTGCCTTAGAAATGTTGGGGACTAAAATAGGGGTTTCCTCATAGTAATTTCACCTCTGGCTACTATTGATAAAGGTTTCAAGTTCTTTGAGCGGACATATTCTCGCCGGCCAAAACAGCCTTCAGATGATGCCTCCCGTGACTAATGATATTCAAGATGATACTCAACCTCTTCCATTATCTCCTCAAGTGTCAACAGATCCTATGTTTGACCTTGACCTTCCTATTGCTATACGAAAAGGTAAGAGATCTTGCACATATCCTATTTCATCTTATGTGACATCTGCTTATTTATTCTTTACATCTCAATCCTTCATGGCTAATGTAGACTCTCTCTTTGTTCCTATGACCCTTGTAGATGCCCTGAGTCATGATGGTTAGGGACATGCTATGGAGGAAGAAATATTAGCTCTTGAGATGAATGATACTTGGGATTTGGTTCCTCTTCCCGAGGACAAATAGGCTATTGGTTGTAAGTGGGTTTACATTGTGAAAGTTAATTTGAATGGTTCTATGGCTCGTTTGAAGGCACGCCTTGTTGCAAAAAGGTATGCCCAAACTCATGGCGTTGACTACATTGATACGTTCTCTCCGGTTGCTAAACTTTCATCTGTTCGCATCTTCATCTCTCTTGCAACTATGCATCATTAGCCATTATTCCAGCTAGATGTCAAGAATGCATTCTTACATGGAGACTTATAGGAGGAGGTGTACATCGAGCAACCACCTGGCTTTGTTGCTCAGGGGAGTGTGGAAGAGTGTATCGTTTAAAGTCATTATATGGCTTGAAACAATCACTTAAAGTATGGTTTGGGAGATTCAATGACGTGATTCTGGAATTTGGATTAGTGAGGAGTGAGAATGATCATACAGTGTTTTACAAATAGACTAACCATGGTTATATTTTACTTGTTTATGTTGATATTATTATTACAGGTAGCGACAAAGAAGGAATCAGCAACCCAAGGAAATTTCTTCAAACCAAGTTTCAGACAAAAGACTTAAAAATTCTGAAATACTTCTTGAGTATTGAAGTCATGTACTCCAAGCAAGAAATCTTCTTTCACAGAAAAATATGTCTTAGACTTATTGACTGAGACGAGACTAAAAAGAGCTAAATCATGTGAGACACCTATGGAGCTAGGAGTGAAACTGACAGCAGATGGAATTTCTTTTGCAGATCCACAGAAATACAGTAGATTAGTAGGCAAGCTAAATTATTTGACTGTCACAAGGCCGGATATTGCTTTTCCAATTAGTGTTGTTAGCCAGTTTATGTCATCTCCGATGAATACTCATTAGGAAGCACTGATCCGCAGTGCAAAGTATTTGAAGAAAACACTAGAAAAAGGAATTGTGTACAAAGATCATGGAAATACATAGATAGAGGTGTTTTCTTATGCTGATTGAGCAAGATCTATGGACAGAAAATCTACTACCGGATATTGTGTGTTCTTGGGAGGTAATTTAATTTCGTGGAAAAGTAAGAAGCAGAACGTTGTATTGAGATTAAGTGCAGAATCAGAATACAAGGCGATGACTCAGACTACTTGTGAGTCAATGTGGTTGAAACAAATGTTGGAAGAAATAGGATTTGGTAGCACTAAGCTTATGCAACTTTGGTGTGACAACTAACAGTGATACACATTGCCTCAAATTCAATTTTTCATGAACGAATGAAATATAGAGATAGATTGTCACTTTATTCGAGAAAAAGTTCAGCAGAAGCTTATATTCATCTCTCATGTTAGGACAGGCGACCAACTAGCAGATGTGTTTACAAAGCTTTTAAATGGGCATGTAGCAATTATATTTGTAACAAGCTGGGCATGATTAATATTTATGATCCAGCTTGAGGAGGAGTGTTATGAATAGCTATAATAGACATATTAGGATTAGAGTTTATTTAAGTATTATAATAAGAGGCTTGGCCCAGTAGGGTTACATATGTATCTTTATAAATATAAGGGTCTCTACACATTGTAAAGCACCCAATTCCAGCACACTAATCTATCTCTCTCTCTATGCTCTTTCTCTTAATTTCTACATTAATGAAATTATTTATCGATTAAAAAAATAAAAATCTACCACCCCAAAAGAGAAAAAAAAAGGTTTCTTTAAAAAAAATTTGTAGACAATAAAATAATTTGACAAACCTTCTTCAAAAGGGTTTTCACCCGATCATATGCTTCTCGAAGGAGTTTCACAACCTGTAGAACAGGTAAAGAAGTTAAGGTCCAATCATGATTTTTATTTTTGATAAAATAACATTTCTTAAAAGAGGAAATTAAATAATCTAAATATAATTTTTCGTCAGTTGTAAAGAATATAACTTTATAGCACTTGCCTCTTGCATCAAATAATATAAACATAATTATTCATCAGTTATAAAGGGTATAAATTTATAACACTTGCCTCTGCATCAATACGTGACTGCATTTCAGAACTTGGTCGCTCTTTTATATGAACTGGCCCAATGGCATCACTCATCCCACAATTTGATACCTTATGTAGAGATGAAAAAACAACAAATTTAATGATTGCCCTTAAACTTATTTTGTAAAAATAATCTCTTTTTTTTTTATTTAATTTCTAAAAGCTTTTGAAAAATAAGCAATTATTTCTCCAACTTTAATCTTATCTTAAGCTAAGGAAATTTAAGCTCATAATGAAATTAAGAGATATGTGCAGAATTTCAACAGAAATTTCTAAATGTCCAATTACTAATTTTAGTGAGAGGAAAGTTGTAGTTACTTTATTACCAGCACAGATATATAAGCAAACAATTTTTAAGTGATGCAAGACTGCACTTGACACTATACAGGGGAGCAGAAAATTACCATGTATTGAGCAAGTTCAGTAGCAGTGTGGAGATCACTGCTTGCTCCAGTTGTAACATAATCCTGACCAAAGATAAGCTCTTCTGCAACTCTTCCTCCCATACAAACATCAAGGCGAGCTAACAACTGCTTCTTGCTTACTGATGTCTCATCACTTGAGGGGAGCTGAGTGACCATTCCTAAAGCAGATCCACGTGGCATGATTGTTGCCTTGTGAATTGGATGCGCACCCTCTGTGTTAAGGGCAACAATTGCATGGCCACCCTCATGATAAGCAGTAAGCTGAAATTTCAAAAGCAAAATAAATATATATGAGCATACAACAGATTAATATGTTAACTGTAAGCCAAATATTATTAGCTGGCAGACATATACTCATGACTGCAGATCAGTAGAGTACAAACATTTCAGCATACCAGCACAATTTGATTATACCAAACAAAATATATCTACAAGATGCTAAAACAATTGATATAGTTGAGTCATCAAATGGTTAGAAAGAACATATAACGACACAGCAACACACTCTTCCACATACTCAAAGTCAATATACTACTACTTGGTGAATTTCACAAGAATCCCACTAAAATGAGTGTGGCCCAATGAAATTTGCTAACAATTAAAAGTGCACTGAAAAGAATGCATCAAAGATAGTATTGTTTACATTTCTTGCAGGTAAGAATGGTACTTCAGTTAAGGTTCAAGATACAGGGATATTTTTATAAAATAACCAGCCTATCCACTCACCAGCTAATAACCGATTTAACAACTAATCATTCATAAGACTGGTTATTTTAAGCTTCTGAGTAAAAGCATTAAAACAACCCTTCTTTTTTAAACATGATTTTAAACATTAGTATTTTGGTCATCTAACTAAGTTTCATTTTCTTCTCTTTTTTCTTTTTGGGTTTAATTTGATTCTTTAAGTTTTCCCTATATCCCATATTTATCCTTCTGCCAATGGTATATCAGTGTTAGATCTCACCAATAATTTGCCAAAAAACTTGCCAGAAACTAGATTTTCACCCTCCATCCTCCTCTCCTCTCTTTCTCCAATATTCCAAAGACAAGGGATTTCAATTTTAGCCCAAAATTGAGAAACAGCATGGAATTCTAAAGACAATAGGAAATCAACAAGAAGGAAGAGAGAAAGAGGGGTTGAGAGAAGACCATGACCAAAATCCACCATCCTCATCACCCTTTTTCCATCATCCCTACCCATCAAAGAACCAACCATCAGTGTCATACCCCCATCCCCACCTCCACCCACCATTTAGGTCATGCCATCACCCTCATCCCCAGCCAAAAACAAACTCACCATTGAGGACAGACAACCACACCATCCCCACCCATCGAGGAACCCACTATCCCCCAAACCTTCCTGAGCCATTCCATCTCCTTTCACTCTTGGTTGCACAACCAATACCAGCAAAGAACCTATTTTTCAAAACCCTCATCCACCCTCCTCACCCACAATCCCATTTGAATTTAACTCTCAATTGTTGGAACCTGATTGGATAAGCAAAAGAGAAAATCTTGTATATTTATTTCAGAAATTGTAAAACAATTGTCTAAAAGCTCTTTTAAGTTGGAGAACAATAGTGGAGAGTTGTTGAAGATTCCTGGAAAATGAGTTATTTTTTCTTCTTTAATTTTTCTTTGACACAAGACATGTGGCGAGGGATATTTTGGATAGTTCTGATTCAATGGTTTAATGTGCATAAATCTACTAGAGTCATCTCTATTAAGAGCCAGGAAATAGAATGGCAAGGACAAACATGGGATGAAAGGAAATTTTAAAGAACTAAATTGAACCAAAAAAGAAAATAGTTAGAGGAGTAAACCAGGTTAAACCCTTAGTCCCTTACACAGTCAAACCTATGGTTTATGTCAATCATATAAGCTGTCCAGATACTTAAGCACACAACCTGGTTTCCTGACATATAAAAATACCTTCTTTGACTCTTCTGATATAAACATTGTTTTCCGCTCAGTACCCATAATTATTCTGTCTTTTGCAAACTCCAACTGTGCAGCTGTTACTTTCTCTGCACCTTCCACTGCAGCTTTGATGGCAGCAACATTTACCAAGTTCGCAAGATCTAGTTTTAAAGGAATATATATTAATAAATTCAGAAACTTGGGGTATAATAATATAGAAAGTCATCTCAAATATATTATATAATAAAAAATAATTCACCTGCCCCATTGAACCCTGGGGTACCACGAGCTATTGCTTTAATATCTACATCATCAGATATAGGTTTATCTTGCAGATAGAGTTCCAATATTTCTTGCCGACCACGTACATCTGGATTTGGTACAACAATCTGGAATAGGAAATTTGTTAGTCTTTTTATCTTCTATATGATGCAGGCATTACTCCAATGTTCTTTTATCCAGGATTCAGTACACAAGGTAAGTTGTCAAGTATTTTAATAGTTATTACTTGTATTAAATAGATTTTGAAATGTGTATTCTGAATAATAATCAATATACACTTGAAAACTCACCTTCGGTATAATACACAAGTGGTTACCATAGCAACTACCATTTTATTTAGCAAATTAACTTCCATGTTCATGACAATAGTTTGATATTTTATATTGTAAGGTTGCTTGGCAGATATTTTTATTTTTATTTCTGGATGAAAAAAGAAAATATTGCTGGAGCAGAGAATGAAAGACGGACAATAAAAAAAAAAAAGGCATGTGATATCATACAAAGCAAGCCTGAACTAGGTTGTCAATACCGCATGATAGCACCACCATAGTTATTCCATCCATATGTGCTAAGTTGTTTTCCAGATGTACACCTATAGCATTACCATCTCTCTAAGAATCTCTGATAGGTAACTCCCGTAGTTAGTTAGAGGTATAATTAGTTAGTGTTAAGAGAGTTAGTTGTTGATAAGTGATAGTTGGCTGGGTTGAGACAAAGAAGTATGGCAGTTTGCTTATAAATAAGAGAGGTTGAGAGAGGGGAGCTTGTCAATTGTGAGTTTGAGCTAACGGCTTGGAATGAGCAGTCTCTCAAAGAACTGCAGTGTTCTATCCTTATAATTGGGGTTTGTACCTATCTCAAGCATCGTTGAGTTGAGAATCTCCAGCAGTACATCATTTATTTGTAGCAAGGTTTTAAAGGTTAGTCAGCTTTATCTTGAGGGGGCGTGTTGGAATATCTCATAGAATAAATATTATATCTTAGTAGTTAGAACTATTTTGAATATCCATTATATCTAGATTGCATCCTAAAATAGTTTAGTGTATCTCAAATATTACTTCTTAAAACTAGTTTTTCTATTTTCTTAGTTTCCATATTACCTAATATTTCATGATTTGTTTCCTTATTTAGTTAGAATAATTAGTATAAACAGGGGTGAGCGCTTTAGGTCTTATTATTGTATGCAAATTCATTGTAATACATCCCATTTAATATCAATCTATAGATTTATTCTCTTTTATCTCTCTTCCCCCTTCTATACCTCAAAACCACATAATTCCAACAAGTTGTCTTTTTACCTATGCAGCTGTTATTGAGTCACTTTATATTTTATTTGTAAGTCTTAATTTGTTAGTTTACAAGCTTTAGCCCGTGCGGGAGTGTTAGAATATCTACATTCTACAGAATATCTCATTGCATCTCTTAAATTTGAGCTAAAGTCTACCCCAACCCCCAAAAATAAACTCGTAAAGTGAGGATTAGTTTAACTTTTTTTTTTTAAGTTCTATTTAAGTCATATCTGTAGTCAATGTAAGACTTCAACAGTGTATTTAAAAAATCTTAAATATATTTAGAACATATTGCAGAATCAATAATTTATGTTTCTTTACTTCATAATATTTTGTTAGGATCCCAATTGTGGTATGGGACTTGAATCCTACAACAGAAGTATGGGATTCTAAGGTAGAGTTTACAAGGCCTTCGGCTCTCCAGCTATAAGGCTAGCTTTAGTGTGGTTCTCCCAAGGTATCAAAGCCTTTTACCGTGATAGGTATTGAATAAAGAATAGAATTCTTTATTGGATCTTCTCTGAACAAGAGAAGAGAATAGGGAACTGTACAACACCTTCCTACTGGAATTTCGAGAGTTCCAGCCTCTCCCTCCAAATCTCCGATTTCTCCCAAAAGATCCCTCCCCCCCCCCTCCTCCCCCTTTCTAACTAACTATTTATAGAGCATGAAACAAAATACAGTTATAACTAATACAGTTATGATTGACAATTCAAATCCTCTGCAGCTGTCCCTATTCTTACACTTCCTCTGATAAACTTTCACTAAAGATGGCCTACGCTTATCAATACCTGGCGCCAAAAGCTTCACCTTGTCCTCAAGGTGGAAGGAAGGAAATGCCACTTGCATCCTAGCTGCAGATTCCCAACTATTCTCACAAGAAGGAAGGCCTTGGCATTGTATCAAAACTTCCACATCACCCATAGTGGATTCTCTAACCTTCAAAACTGCTTGTGGACAAACCCACAATTCCTGATCTTCAGACAACATTTCTGGCAGTGGCTGTGTCTGAACTAACGGACCCACCATTTTTTTTAACCATGAAACATGAAATACCGGATGAATCCTGCTAGTTGGAGGCAACTCCAGCTTGTACGCCACCTGTCCTATCTTAGACAGCACCTTGAAAGATCCATAAAATCGAGGACTCAACTTTTCATTTGCCCTTTTAGCCAAAGACCTTCGACGATAGGGTTGAAGTTTCAAAAACACCCAATCACCCTCCTGAAACTCCACCTTTCCTCTATGTTTATTAGCATGTACCCCGCATCACATCTTGGGCTTTAAGAAGATTGTCCCTCAATTCAACCAACAACTCATCACGGCTTTGCAGCAACTGATTCACTTCTTACATTCGAGAAGGAATCAGAGTCCCCTTTAAAAGTGTTGGGGGGTCAATTCCATATAAAGCCGGAAAGGGAGTCATTTTACTAGATGCGTTATAGTTTGTGTTGAACCAAAATTCAGCCTAAGCCAAACACAAACTCCAGTTTTTGGGTCTTGTCCCAGTTAAACACCTCAAGTAAACTTCCACACTCCTATTAACCACTTCCGTTTGACCATCCGATTGCAGATGATAAGCGGAACTAAACCCTAAACCTACTGCCTTGAACAAAGTTCTCCAAAAATTGCTCATAAAAATCATATCCCTATCCGACACAATAGAACTAGGGAAACCGTGTAACCTCACAATTTCATGCACAAAAATGGCTGCCACATCTCCAGCAGTGTAAGGATGACTCAGCAGTAAGAAATGGGCGTACTTCGTTAGTCTATCCACCACGACTAAAATAGTGTCTTTCCCTTTGGATTTTGGCAGCCCCCCCCCCCCAAATGAAATTCATGGATATATCTCTCCGTACAACCATGGGAATTGGCAACGGCTATAACAATTCAGCTGGAGTCAAAGTAGAATATTTATTTCTCTGACACACATCACAGACAGCCACAAACTCCTTTATATCACTGTTCATACCTTCCCAATAAACCACATTGGCAATTCGCTTGAACGTTCTAAAATAACCAGAGTGTCTTCCAATCAACGAAGAGTGAAATTCCTTTAAAATAATGGGAATCTTAGCAGAAGATTTAGGCAACACCAAACTGTTTTTATAAAACAGTTTCTGATCTTTCAGAATATACCCCTCATGAGAGGCTGGGTTCAGCAATAAATCCTATATAATACCTTTCAACTTAGCATCTTATTGAATCTCCTCTTGCCACTTCTCAAAATCAGACATCTTTATAATCGAAATTGAAAAATAAGAGCTTCGGCGAGACATAGCATCAGCTGCTGTATTATCTTTGCCTGGTTTATACTGCACTTCAAAATCATATCCAAACAACTTTGAAATCCAACGGAATTGTTCTTCTGCCCACAACCATTGATCAGTGAGAAATTTCAAACTTTTTGGTCCGTCTGTATGATGAAATGACTTCCCAACAAATAATGTCGCCACTTTTGCATAGCTTTAACTACTGCCATCAACTCCCTCTCATACACTGATTTCTGTCTGACAAAGCAGTGCTCCAAAAAGCAAGAGGCTTCCCATCTTGAAGCAAAACTGCACCCAAACCTGTTCCTGAAGCATCAGTTTCTAAAACAAAAGTTTTAGAAAAATCTGGAACAGCCAACGTGGGCAGTAAGGTCATGGCGTGCTTGAGTCTATCAAAAGTAACTTGAGCTTCCTCACTCCACAAGAAACTATCCTTCTTTAAGAGTTGAGTCAACGGTCTAGCAATGAGATCATATTGCTGCACAAACAGTCTATAATATCCCATCAAACCCAAAAGTCCCCGCAAGCTCATCACATCTTTAGGCTGAGGCCAAAGCCACATAGATTCTAATTTTTGGATCAGCAGCCACAGTACCCGCTGAAATAATATGGCCCAAATATTCCAAAGTAGACTGGCCAATAATACATATTTTTCCCTTCACCTTTAAATCATTCTGCTGTAGAAGATCCATTACTGTAGCCAAATGCTGTGCATGCTCATCGTCATTTTTGCTGTAAATCAAAATATCATCAAAAAATACCAATACATACTTCCTTAATAATGGTCTCAGCACTTCATTCATCAAAGATTGAAAGGTTGACGGCGCATTAGTGAGCCCAAAAGGCATCACTACAAACTCGTAGTGCCCCTCAAGAGTTCTAAATGCTGTCTTCTCAATATCCTCATTTCTCATTCTGATTTGGTGATAACCGGACCTCAAATCCAGTTTTGAAAAAATTTCAGCATTACCCAGTTCATCAATAACGGGAATAGGGAATTTGTTAGGTATAGTCACTTTGTTAAGGGCCCTATAGTCCACACAAAGCCTCCAACTTCCATCTTTTTTCTTTACCAAAATAATAGGACTAGCATAAGGACTCAAACTCAGTCTAATAATTCCAGCTACCAGCATTTCACTAACCATCTTTTCAATTTCAGTTTTTTGGCAATGAGGATACCTATAGGGCCGGATGTTGGGAATAGCAGCTCCCTCCTTAAGATGTATGGCATGATCATGCTTCCTTGCCGGAAGTAATGTCTTCAGAACCTCAAACAGCTCAGCATAATGTTGCAGAACTGCAGTCAATACTGGAGGTAACTTTGCCATAGCTTCCTCAGGCTGCTGAATCAATTGACATTCTAACAAAAAACCATCCCCTTCTTGCTGTATAGTCTTAATCATAGAGTTCAATGAAGCTCTGCCCTTCGTTAACTCCGGTTCCCCCTTCAATGTGACCAACTGCCCTTCCACCTTTATTTTCAGAGTTAATTGCTCAAAATTTGCTCTGATTTCTCCTAATTGGGCCAACCATTCCAGCCCCAAAACCATCTCTACCCCCCCTAATTCAAATAAATAGAAGTCTTGTTTGATAGGCACCCCTTGTATCATCATGGCAACTTTAGCACATTTACCTTTACACCGAACCTTATGTCCATCACCAAACTCTACCACGTTGGAAGGCGTATCTTGAACTGGTAATTGAGCTCTTCTTACCAATTCATGGGAAATGAAATTATGGGTAGCCCCACAATCAATCAACACTATCACTCTCTCCTGACCAAGTTCACCCCACACCTTAAGGGACCTCTTGGAGGTAAATCCAGCAATACTATTTAACAATATTTGCTTGAATTCTGCCCCTCTCTCCTCACATTCTGAATTGTCCTCCTCACTCCCATTCATACCCTCCATTCCTCCAACAACATCAATTTTAACTATTTATTTTTACAAATATGATTTGGCCCATATTTTTCTTCACATTTAAAGCATTCCCCCTTTCTTATTTTCTCCTACATTTCTGCATTGGACAACCTTTTGAAATCACCACCCCGTCCTCTAAATCCAGACCCACTTTCATTACTACCAGCAGAAGATGCAGCTGAAACGACTTCAGCATGTGTTCCTCCCACTCCCCGTTTCTGCCCTGTATCCACAATCACCGTACGAGAGAAAGAGAATGGTTTATGATTGCTCCCATGCTTCCCTACAGGCCCAACACCATTCTTCATCAATGCTGCATTCTTTTGATCAATCATCAACGTTTTCTTCATCATTGCTGATAGATTCGGAGGTTCGTACAATTTCAACTCAGCTCCAATTTCTTCCCTCAAGCCATTGACAAATATATCAATCAAATGTTCTTCTCCTACCCCACTCAGCATTCCTGCAAACTTCTCGAATTGAGAAACAAAGTCCTCCACCGTGCCTTCTTGCCTTAAAGCCAATAAAGCCGCAAAAGGACTATGTACCATGGCCGGCTGAAATCTACCAATAATAGCTTCTTTAAACTCTTCCCAATTTTGGTGCAGATGACATGACTCCCACCATTGAAACAAACTTAGAGCTTTACCTTCAAGTGCCACCATCACCGCCTGAAGTTTCTCCCCATCCTCAACTCCTTGCAAGCGAAAATAATGTTCCAATTTATTAACCCACCCAAACACATTTTCTTCTCCTTCGTACACCGGAATTTTCATCTTCTTCCATCGTTCACTCACTCCGACAGGTTGCCCACCTATTGCCGCATCCGACCGGGTGTCATCTTCCGCCCGACGCTCTGTTTCTTCCGCCGCCCGACGCACTGCGTCATTTCTCGCATCTTCTCCCGAACGGCAAACCAAGGATTCCACCAACGCTTCCAACCGTCGGAATCGTTCTTCCTCTCGATTCCGATCCTCTTCTCGCTCGCAATTCCAAGCTTCTCGATCGCGGTTCCACAGCTCCATACAATGCTCCAATCATTCGATCCTTGACTCCATTCTGGTAGTTATTTTGCGCATAAACAATCCCAATACCACAGCTCCTAGATGGAGCTCTGATACCAGATTGATAGGTATTGAACAAAAAATCAAGGTAGTTAAATCGGGATTCAAGTTATGAATTGTAAGACCTATTTTTCGAATCATGAATTGAATCGTATCTTGAATCATAAGATTCAAAATCAATAATTTAAAACATAAAAAATATAAATATAAGAGTATTGTAATGTAAAGAAACATCAAAACATTTAATATCTTAACATTTTTAAGTCAAATAATATGTAGCTATCAAAAAGAGGAGGAGAAAACAAATAAAAAATAGAAACTGTTGCAATGGCAAAGGGACCACCAAAAATCTTGAAAACCAGAAATCTTGAAAAGGAAAGCAGTGAACAAACGCTGGAAAATCTTATTTTTCCGGTAAACAGAAAAACAGATATGCCAGAAAAACTATTTCTCCAGTGAACAAAAAACCAGAGGAGATACCGGAAAAGATGATTTCTCCAGCAAAATGGAGAAGGTGAGCCTCCGGACTAACTGATTTATCTAGCAAAATGGAATGGGTACCGGTGAGAATGGGAGAAACCGCTATGCGGAGGTCAGACTTTTCGCGGAGAGTGGAGAGGGTGGGGAAGATGAAATTAACACACGTTTTATAAAAGGTAAATGACCTTTTTTACCCTTAAAAAATAATTCAAACGGTGCGTTTTATAAAAAATACAATAGGTTTCTTTCTTCCCCCAAATCACCAGATCGTGAACATCTCCTTGTTTTCACCCGCACCTGTCGCGATGCCAAACGCCCCGCGATATGGCAGCAGTGGCGGCGGACAGCCGCGCCACACCGCTCCGCTCTGATTCAAGCGCTACCCGGTTTGCGAAGGTATCGTGTGCCGCCATTCAAATTCACGATTCAGCCTGATACGTACAATTCAAGCGATTCCGGCAATGATTCAAAGGTTAAATCGATTCTGCCATACGATTCGTATCCCTGGGCTACAAAATCGAATCGTTAGTATTGTATCGAGAATCGTGCGATACTAACTACACTACAAAGAATAGAATTCTTTATTGGATCTTCTCTGAACAAGAGAAGAGAATAGGAAATTGTACAACACCTTCCTACTGGAATTTTGATCTCCCTCCAAATCTCCGATTTCTCCCAAAAGATCCCTTCCCCCACTTTCTAACTAACTATTTATAGAGCATGAAACAAAATACAGTTATAACTAAGAAAGTTATGATTGACAATTCAAATCCTCTGCAGCTGTCCTATTCTTACGCTTCCTCTGATAAACTTTCTCTAAAGGTGGCCTACGCTTATCATACCATATCTCCCAGCTGCAAATGAGCAACGCAGGTGGTGATACCAGCATTGCGATGTTCACTCAGAACTAATCAAAGGGGATAGTGCACAGCCAGCTGGTGTGGACGCTGAGGCTACAAAATGTGGTGGGATGCTAGGATCCCAATTGCAAGATATGAGACTTGAGTCCCACATTGGAGGTATAGGATTTTAATGTGGGATTTATAAGGCCTTAGGCCTTGGGCTCTCCAACTACAAAGATTAGCTTTTATTGTGTGGATCTCCCAAGGTTCTTACCATATTATCTCATTTTTTCCTTAATTAATTTAATTACAATTAATAGTCCTATTATATTAGTGAACTTGGGGTTTGCCTTTACTAGTAATATTACACTAGTATTAGCTGACCTAATATTAGTATAAATAAGACCATCGTGTTAGTATTTTCCATCACACCATTACATATCACATCAATCTAATAGAATATTATCATTGAGAGCCTCATTTCTCTCTCTTCCTTCTTTTCTACCTAATCACATTGTAACAAGATTAAGAAAATAACTTATCACATAATATAGGCAGCATCATAATACTATCATTCAAAATTCTGGCACAAAACAAAAGCAAATATATATATATCATCAAAGAATATTAGGTTTGTCAAGGCTTTGCAGAATATTTTTGTTCCTTTTGTTTCAAAAGTTTAGGTTGAGTGTAACATCCTTTTGAGTGTATCCACATTTTGCAAGAGGTAGCATGAGCAAAATATGGAAATTTTCATCAGACAATGCTTCTCCCCCATGACCTGTCCTTTTAGCTTCCATGTGAATTTCAGCTTATGATTCTTTCAAAAGTTTCCCTTAATGGATTGACAGAAACTGTTAAAGCAATATAAAGCATGCTTTAATTTTCATTTGTCTCTTGATTAATTTGTTGCTTCTAGTTCTAGGAGTTATCATCATTATTCTTTCTATTTTTATATTATTTCTCTTAATAGATTCTTTATTGAGAAAACAAAAAGAATAGGACTTACATGCCGGTCAAATCTACCAGGCCTCGTTAAAGCTGGATCAAGAATATCAGGCAAGTTTGTTGCAGCCATTAATATTATTCCCTACAAGAAAAAAATGATGAATGAATTTGGAAAGAGGAACAAATTGCACTCCAAAATATTCAAAGATACCTCATTCTGCTCAAACCCATCCATTTCAACAAGTAGCTGATGCAATGTCTTCTTCGTATGGCCCTCCCATTGTTTCCTTGTTGATCCAACAGCATCAATTTCGTCAATGAAAATAATACAGGGAGCCTACAATATGATAAAACAAAAAAATGTTCCACGATAAGAAATAAATATATGACGCATGTGGTACAGTACAAAACCAGAATAACAGAGTTTTGGAAGATCATTAGTGAAAAGCAACAGACCTTTTTTTTGGCTGCTTGAAATAAGGATCTTACACGTCGAGCACCAACTCCCACAAACCTGAGTATGAAAAGAAATATGAAAATGAACATCCCTAACAACCAACATATCACAATATTCCTTATTTGATAACAAATTGCTACAGTGTCTATGTCACAAGCAAAATAGACCATCGAAGAACTTAAACTGCCTGGAGGAAGATTAAATTTTGCATTCTTGTTAAGAGATCACATGAAAACATTTAGCATCTAATCAACCAAGGTAGTGTCATGCATATCACACAGAAATAGGAAATCCTATAATGTTAATAAAATCTTCATTCTGTTTCATTATATTTCACATGTTCCAAATATTTGGATTTATTCCCAACAATAAATATCATAAAAGCTCAATTTCATAGAGTTATCTAAAAAAATGGGGACCCTTGATGGAGATACTATTATACTAAATTCTTTTCATATATCTAATCTAATGGCCAACAAGAAATCCATTCAGTTCTACAAAATGATGTTAATCCTCCCTCCAAAAAATTAGAGGACCACAGAAAGACATCACTTCTTAATAACAATGAATTGACACTGATTGAACCATATTATTTCGTCATATAGTTGATACTTGATAAGAGTATGTTCCCATCAGAAGAATAGCAATAATAAATGAGATCTAGAAATCAATAACAGAAAGGAATAAGAAACCTAATCAGTATTACAATTGACAACTATATTTTCAATAAAAAAAATTGCAATACAACAGCATTCTTTGTGTTGTCATTTCAAGGTAACATATAACAAACCCTCATCATATTCCAGCATAATAGCATGCAATATTCTGTCTCTGATCTCAAGATTATATATAACATGTGCTCAATGCCCAAAATTTAAGCAATTGAAAATATAGAAAGAAAAAGACAACTTACATCTCCTCAAATTCAGAGCCTGCCCGATAGAAAAAAGGAACACCAGCTTCGCCAGCAATAGCCTTCAAGGTCCCAGATAAAGAAAACACTATTAGATCATAATAATTACAATTTTTTTTCAATAGATTAAATCCAAAGGTTGAAAAGATTAAAAGTCCAATGTCAATGAGAGACAAGAACCAAAGTCTAAATTTATATCCTTCCATGAACAGTCCAATAGCATATAGCATATAACAGTGTTGTAATAAGTTGCCAGATAAAATGGAAGTATAAACACAAATGTAGTTTAACTTAAAACTTATGTTTAAATGCAACAACAACAAGCATATATTCAATGAACTGTCAAAACCGTGTTGCTCATTGGGTATTTTAGGAAGTTTTATATTTTATCCTTGCTGTAATTTTATTCTTTATCACAGCTGTATCTTGCTATTAATATTAGGTTTATGTATTTAGAATCAATCCCATAATCATAGGGATTTGTTTCCTTAGAATTAGTTGTCCATATTTCCTAAAATAGCCAGCAGGCTCATGTATATATAGGTCCAATGACCTGATAATTAATATACAATAAAACGGAGAATATTATTCCTTCTAAATTTGAGATGGTATCAAAGCTCCTGATCTTTGGGATCCTCTGACCGTGCTTGTAAACCTGATGTGATCCTAGGAGCTATAGGATCCCTTTATACTCATACCTGTAATTGTATAGCTACAAAACAAAGAGGCTTAGCTTAGTTTAGCTTTGGGCCTTGTATTTTGGCAATGGGCCTGGGAAGAGTGGAGTCTCTTGTAGTTTTATTTGGACTTGTATTGGGCCATGTTTCCAGGCATGTATTCAGCACAATCCCCATCCCCTTGTTACTTGTTGTTTACAGCCCAATAAAGATGTATTTTGGCCTTGAGTTAGCTTGCCTATAAATAGGCTAGCCCCTTGTAAAATGCACCTTGAAATTCATTTGTTTAGATTTCACACTTGTGTGAATTTTGAGTTCTCTAGGAATTCTCTCTAGAATTATCTAGGATCCTTTTCTCTTATCATAGATTCCTCCATGTGGTGAGACAAATAGGCTTATCCCTACTCCTTTAGGATGGTGCCATTCAAGTGTAATCACCTCTCTTTCCCTCCACTTTTTGAATTCTTCTTCTCATTTTTTGTTTCCTCCAATCTGAAAATCTACTCCATCCAATTCTACATCATTTGGTTCATTTTTTGGGACCTACACAAGCAAGGAATTGTTGTTTATCCTCTTGAAGATCCATTTCATAGGACTTTCATGAAGAATGCCTTCAAGAAACTCAACAAAACCCCAAGTCGCAGTCTTCATCACTGCGTTGCCTAAATGGCTGAGGTCATGAATCCTGTTCTACAAACTGGGGACAGATCCCAGACTGCTGGAGAATTGCAAAATGTTCATTTTGCTTATCGATTAAATGGAAAGAATTATCTCAAATGGTCTAACTCATTAAGACCATCTTGAAAGGAAAAGGAAAGGTCAGTCACCTAACTGATAATCCCCCTAAGGCAGAGGATGCCAAGTTCAAATCATGGGATGAAGAAGACTCCATGATCATGGCGTGACTGTGGAATTCAATGGTCCCAAAAATCAGTGATACCTGCATGTTCCTTAAATCAACAAAGGAAATTTGGGAGGCAGTAGAACAAACCTATTCTAAGGCCAAGGACGCTGCTCAAATCTATGATGTAAAGGTGAAAACCGTGGCTGCCAAACAGGGAAACAAATCAGTCACAGAATATGCCAATCAACTCAAGTCCCTATGGATGGAATTGGATCACTATCAAGTTGTAAAAGCAAAGTGTTTAGAAGAGTCAGCAATTCTTGAGAAGAATATTGAACAAGATAGAGTCTATGATTTTTTGGTAGGCCTGACTGAATCCTGAATATGACCAGGTCCGAATCCAAATCCTGGAAAAAGAGAAAGTCTCAAGGCTTAATGAAGTGGTAGCCATTATCTGGAGTGAAGAAAGTAGGAGAGGACTGATGCTGAAGACCCCAACTACTGAAAGCTCAGCAATGATGGCTGAAGGAGGAACAGCCATGGTTGCTAACTAGAGGAAAAGTGGGTTTCCCAATATGGAGAAAAAAACACGAGGAGATCCGGTGTACCTATTACAATAAGCCATGCCACATAAGGGAGAAGTGCTGGAAATTACATGGAAAACCCCCAAGCTGAGAATGGGGGTCCAAAAGGAGGCGCTCCCAAAAAGGAGGGCAAGGGCAAGCACCCATTGTTAATGGAATGGATGAAGAATCTGTCCAGCTGAATCATAAAGAGATAGAAAGGGTAAGATCCTTCCTTAGTAAATTAGAGAAACCCATAGGTTTGTGCTCCTTAACATATTCTAGTAAGTTTTCAACTTCTTTTGGACTTAATGTTTCAAATACACCCTTTACCCATTATTGGATATTAGATTCTGGAGCCACTGACCATATGACCCCTCTACCCAAATACTTCCCCACATATTCTCCATGTCCTAGCAACAAGAAGATTTCCACAGCAGATGGAACCCTTATAACTGCAGTTATAACTGCAGCAGGACACGAAGAGGTCCAAACAAGCCCATCCATAATATTAAAGTGTCCTTCATGTCCCAAAACTGTCCACCAATCTGATTTCTATAAATAAACTCAAAAGATCTCTCATGTAATGTTGTTTTTCATAGCAACTCTTGTATACTGCAGGACAAGCACTTGGAGAGGACAATTGGACATGCTAAAGAGTGGAATGGCCTATATTACATGGAGAACCCTATTCTGCTTACCAAGAGCCACTCTCTCATCTGATTCCACCACGACCAATAAAGAGAAAGCTCAACTATACCATTGCTAGTTGGGACACCCTTCATTTCGAGTTGTAAAGGTGATTTTCCTTTCCTTGTTTAAGAATTTAAATGTGGAGTCTCCATTATGAGGTGTGTGAGCTTGCTAAACACAATCATGTACCTTTCCACATTACCAATATAATAAGTCCTTTCCCTTTTCTCCTTGTTCATACTGATGTATGGGGTTCTACTAATGTCCCTGTTGTCTCAAGTGCTAAATGGTTTTTAACCTTCATAGATGATTGTACCAAGTTGACTTGGGTTTTCCTACTGAAACAGAAATTTGAAGTTAGTTTCATGTTTTTCCAGTTTGTCTCAATGATTAAAAATCAATTTGGAGTCAGTATCAAAAGAATTATGTCGGATAATGCCATGGACTACTTTAATCTTGTGCTCAACTCTTTTTGCCAAAACGAAGGGGTATAATCCATGAATCTTCATGCGTGAACACACTCCAACAAAATGGGATTGCAGAAAGGAAAAATCGGCACTTATTTGATCAAACTAGAGCCCTACTTTTTCAAAATCATGTTCCTATGAAATTTTGGAGAGAAGCCCTTCTTACTGCCACCTACCTAATCAATAGGTTACCCTCTAAAATCTTAGAATCAAAAAGCCCCATGGAAGTCCTATCCTCATTCTACCCACACTTGGACCCTACAAATAAACTCCAACCTAGAATATTTAGGTGTGTATCCTTTGTGCATGTTCATAGTAATGAAAGGGGAAAAGTGGACCCTAGAGCTGTCAAATGTGTATTCTTAGAGTACTCAATCACACAAAAGGGATACAAATGTTTTCACCCACATCAAAAAGATTCTGTGTCAAGATGTTACCTTCAACAAACAAGAGAGCTACTTCAAGCAGCCTCATCTTCAGGGGGAGAATGTAAGAGAGGAAAATGAGACTCTCATGCTTCCAAATATGGCATTTGGACCTGAAATTGAGACAAATAGCGTTGCTGTCCCTGAAATTGAGAGAAGAACAGAACAAGCACCTGGACCAACAGCAGGACCTGCACCTAATGGTGGAAAATTTGAAAAAAATCTGGTATATTCAAGGAGAGAAAAGGCCATTCTACAATCTGTTCATGTACAGGAATCCAACCCACCATCACCAAATGTGGTAATACTTTCTAATCCTATAAACTCCAATAATTCTAATGAGTTTGTTTCTGAAAATCCAGAAGCACAGGTGACCAAAACATGGACCTTCCCATTGCCCTTAGAAAGGGAACTAGAAAATGCACCCAACAATTACTTTACCCTCTATCAAATTTCCTATCCTTTGAAAAATTCTCTCCTACCCATAAAACCTTTCTCACAAACCTAAACTCCACTCCCACACCTTCCTCTGTATCTGAAGCATTATCTGACAAGAAATGGAAACAAGCCATGGATGTCGAAATGGAGGCGTTAAACAAGAACAGGACCTGGGAACTTGGCACCTTACCAATTGGAAAAAAACCAATAGGGTGCAAGCAGGTATATAAAGTAAAGTACTAGGCTGATGGGACCATTGAACGTCACAAGGCAAGGTTAGTGGCCAAAAGATTCACTCAAGCCTATGGAGTGGATTACTTAGAGACATTTGTCCCGGTTGCTAAGATGAACACAATCAGAGTAATATTGTCATTAGCAACAAATCATGATTGGAACTTGCAGCAGTTTGATGTGAAGAATGCATTTCTACATGGAGACCTTGAAAAAGAAATATACATGGAATTGCCCCCTGGTTATGATGGACAGGTTGCTGCTGGAACTGTTTGCAAGCTAAAAAAGGCTCTATATGGACTGAAACAATCCCCAAGAGCATGATTTGGAAGATTCACCAAAGTTTGGACTACAAACAGAGCCAAGGGGATCACACTTTATTTATCAAACATTCAGATTCAAGGGGGAGTAACAATTTCATTGGTGTATGCAGATGATATTATAGTAACTGGGGATGACAAAAAGGAGCAGCAAGTGTCAAGTCAATGCCTTGCCACGGAATTTGAGATCAAAACATTATGGAGACTTAAATATTTTTTGGGAATTGAAGTGACCCATTCCAAGAAAGGAATCTTCATATTTCAACAAAAGTATATTACTGACTTGCTCAGAGAAATATGTAAGACGGCTTGCAAACCAGCAAGTACTCCAGTTGACCCAAATATAAAGTTGGAAAGTGCAGAGGAGGGTATTGCCATAGACAAAGAGATGTATCAAAGACTAGTGAGCAGACTTATTTACTTATCTCACACTAGGCCAAACATTGCTTTTGCTGAGTCTAGTCAGCCAGTTTATGCACCAACCAAAAGAAGCACATTTACAAGCTACCCTTAGAATTGTCCAGTGTTTAAAAAGGACTCCAAGAAGAGGGATATTGTTCAAGTAAAACAAGAGTGAGTCTTGAAGCATTGTGGATAGGAGATCAACTACTGGATACTGCACCTTCCTTGGTGGAAACCTTGTGACTTAGAAGAACAAAAAACAGAGTATAGATAGATCGAGTGCTAAAGCAGAATTTCGAGCAATGGCCCACGAATATGTGAATTTCTATGGCTGAAGATTATATTGGAAGACTTGATAAGGTAGGATGAACCTATGAGGTTATATTGTGACAATAAATCTGCAATTAGTATAGCCCACAACCCGGTGCAGCATGATAGAACTAAACATATCGAGGTGGACACATTGTATCAAGGAAAAGCTAGACAGTGGCATGATTTGTACCCCATATGTGTCCACTCAGAATCAACTTGCAGACATACTTACCAAGGGGCTGAACTGCATTAACTCTGAAAGAATTATATCCAAGCTGGAAATGGAGAACACTTACTGACCAGCTCGAGGGGGAGTGTCAAAACCGTGTTGCTCATTGGGTATTTTAGGAAGTTTTATATTTTATCCTTGCTGTAATTTTATTCTTTATCACAGCTGTATCTTGCTATTAATATTAGGTTTATGTATTTAGAATCAATCCCCTAATCACAGGGATTTGTTACCTTAGAATTAGTTGTCCATATTTCCTAAAATAGCCAGCAGGATCATGTATATATATAGGTCCAATGACCTCATAATTAATATACAATAAAACGGAGAATATTATTCCTTCTAAATTTGAGATAAACAAATATGGTCAAAAACATAAATGAGTACACACTTCACTCAAATACTTTGTAGCAATGTTGTCAAGATCAAGATCTTACCTAAGATCAGAAAGGGGATAAAAGATCGTAAATTGTGGGATCGTAAAATAGATAATAATATTCTACCAAACATATAAAACTATACTTCAATATATTTATATACGCATAGAAAATAACATAAACTATCACAGTTTTAGGTCAAATGTATAACACTGACTATCACAATAAACTATCACAGTTTTTTGGTCTAAACCTAAATTGCCAAGCAAACCTTTAAGCATTCTACTTTTATAGTGGATAATACAATAGTAAACTGTACAGTTACTGCCCAAAAGCATGAAAGCAACCCGTCAAAGATCTTCTCTTACCTACATTTCCAGCATAATCACATCAAGAATGATGACTTAAATTTTGGCTTGATCTAAGTAAACTCCAAACGTTAGCTCATAAGAAAAAGAGTTAGATCAAACCCAAACTTAAAATGGTATTAAATCCTATAATAGATCCAATGTTGAGTCCCTTTTACTATAAAAAAAATTGACCCCAACTTGGGCCCATGAATTTCCCAATGAAATTTATCTAGCTCCACAACTTTCCCAACGCAATTAAAAGAATTAATTCCTACAATTTAGATGTCCAATTTTAAGTATAAGGGGGCATGTTCAGATCCCATATCGATTACAAATATGGCTAAAGTAGAGGTTATATAAGTTAAGACAATCCTTGCTTTACAAGCTAGGACTAAAGGTTGAGTTAGGCCAAAGCCTAATTTCAAGAATAACAAATCCCAAAAGCATATAGAAGAAGATCAATAGGTTATATCCTATAAGACAATATAAAAGAAAAATGTCCAACATTAACTAACCTTGGCTAGTAGAGTTTTTCCGGTTCCAGGTGCTCCTGTTAAAAGAATCCCCTAAAAAGAGGAACATTTAGCATCACTTGGTGCACAAAATATAACAAATACACACTAAATGAATGATATGATATCTAAACAAGCAAGTTCATAAAAATACACACACACACACATAACATTATGATGACCAAAAGCTAACATATTTGCTACTACAGTAACTACACACAACACAATTTGCATTTGGAGATGAATTAAAGGGAATCAGTTCATAAACAGCAATGGAAAGTAATTCTGCCCAATAAGAAATGAGAAGTCTGTACATGCAAAGTAGAAAACATGAAGAAAAGCTGTTAAGACAAGAAAAAGCAGAAAACAGCAACAAAATGCAAAACATGTCTACAAACCTTTGGCAATTTTCCCCCAAGGCGTGTAAACTTAGACGGATTTTTTAGGTACTCTACAACTTCCTCAAGTTCTTGCTTTGCATCATCACAACCTTTTACATCCTTAAATGTTTTTACATTCTGCAAGGAGAGTGTGATACAGTGACATTAAAGAGAGTATATATAAGGTGTAGTGAAACTTTTGGTTTGTTGTATATTCTACAAAAAAGACTAATACAAGAAATGAATGGCTTCATAATGTCACTTATCTTCCACACAGATTTCCAATTTTGTTGTTGACTGGTCCACAAAATAGCAAGTAATGGCATTATTAGCCAGGAAATTTTTGTTTAGAAACAGGAAAGATTATGCAAGCATTACATACAAAGGAATGCTAGCAACATACTCTTTTTAACACACTCCTAACTATTGTCTAAAATTTATTGAAAACTACAAAAATCATGTGGGTCTTACTCTTTCTCATTCTTAAATTAATGTTTCACTCTCATACTTTTGTAGTTTTTAATAAATTTTAGCTAATAATTAGGAGTGTGTTGCTAGCATTCCTCTTGTATATATCATGCCACTGTTCATAAACCCTGTTGCACTTACAATCTTCTCATCCAAAATACTAACAACCAAAATTTCTAGCTTATCCATATGTAAGCTATTGAATTAATCAACTTTCAAGAAATACAGAATAATCCATTAGCCAGATTGTTAAGGAAATCTGAGTACATCTGTCAGAACAAATTAACAAGGTAACCTTTTCTGGCATCACTTCCTTATTTAGCTCCTTTGGGGCATAGGAAGAACTTGAGCCAACACCTGAAGTTCCAATCCCACCCAAGCTTCCAATGTATTTTTGAAGTGCAGCAGCACCCATAAACCTGACAGAAGGTATATTAGCAACTCAACTTTAAAACAGTCTAAGAGTGGATGGTCATACACAAGAGAGAGAGAGAGCAAAGGAAAAAGACTCATACCAGACCAACCCCACAGCAATTGTAAACAAAATAGTTGAGATGAGTTCTTGTGCGAAACGTGATTTGTTTGATACTTTTGGATCAACCTAAAGGTGGAAACAACTTCATGAGTTCCAAGAACAAATAAACAAAAAAGAATCTGGGTTACAACACAAAATTGTACAATTTTATTTCTACAATATTTATGAATGACAAACACTAAAAGCACAAAGCATAGGGAAAACTATTTGCAATAATTGTTACCATAACCACATGTAATGGCTGCTTCTCAGATATCCCAGGGCTAAGAAAAGTCTCATCTGAGTTAACTGATGCACGCTGCTTCAACTCTTGCAACTGGAAAATATGTTTACCATCAATTGCACATAATGCAACAAAAGTAAATTATGAACAAAAAATGTCAAAAGGCTGTCACTATAGTGTAGTCAACAGAAAGTTTAACAAAAGGAAAAATTGCAATCACAGGATGAAGACAATCACACTCCATTATAAATTCTACATCAAATTTAAGAGAAAATAAATAAACCAAATAATCCGTATCCAGAAATGTATGTGGATGAAATACTGCATAAAAATGTGTATATAAGTATTTAAGAAAGTGACAATTTTTTATGCCAACCAAAAAAAAAAAGACAAAAAAACAACCAAAGCCTTTTTCCTACAAGGTGAGTTGACACTATGGATCCAAAAAACAACCAAAGCATTCCATTTCACTTCTACTTAATCTGAAATCATGAGTTTCCAAGGCATTTCTCTACTGCTCTAAATATTATTTATCATAAGATCACGTTCAATAATTTCCTTCAAAGTTCTTCTAGGTCTTTCTCTACCACTTTTCATAGGGCTAAAAGCCAAGCAATACACTTCCTCATCACCATTGATACCTCCAATGACTTTCTTTGCACATGTTAAAATCACCGTAACCAGTTTTGTCATATTTTATTTAAAAGCTGTTATTCCAATATCTCCTCATATTATCCTGCCATCTTTCATATGAGCAAACATTCATCTTAGCATGCTCGCTTTTGTAACTCCTTTTTTTCCTTATTGGCCCTTTGAAACCCAAAATTGACCACCATAAAGAATAGATAATTATATAATAGTAAGATAAAACTTATTTTTAAACTACCAGGTAATACTTTAAGGTCACACATAGTAGCCAAAACTAAAGTAAAAATAAAAGAGAAATGCTAGGACATACTCTCTAACACACTCTTTCAACCACACTTTTTGTTATTGGTTAAAATTTATTGAAAATTATAAAAATTATATGAGTATCACCACTAATTTAATGAGTGTTGCTCATAACTTGTAGTTCTCAATAAAATTCAACCAATAACTAAGATTGGGTTAGAGTGTGTTCACTCCTTGTAAAAAAGTGACCAAATTTTAATAGTCAATAAATCAGGAAAATTTATCAGTGATCAGCAATAAGATTGATTTTCTAACACGTGAATTGACACAAATGTTAAAAATTAGATAAAGAAAGTGCTGCAAGAAACTTGCAAGTTACAACTTGGAAAGAAAAGGGCATTCTTTCAGAACAAAATAATGTCATTCACCAAGACAATAAAACAGAAGTTGGTTAAGCATTTTGATCCAAACAGTCATGGATGGAATTAAAACAGAATAAATTCATTTTGGGACAGATTAATATTAACAAATAGAAACCAAACAATGTGCACAGTGCACCTCTCCACCTACCCTAATGAAAATGCAGCACTAAAAATTTGGTAATACAGACTGAAAGTTGAAAAGCAGAATCACAAGAACAATGATTCAATGTTTTTACCAGGATAGGAAGGCTAGAAGGTTTTCCAGTTTCCTCATCTGGAAGATATTCAGCAATAGCATTGGTGACCACTAGAGCTCGAAGATATTCTGCAACCCCTCTACTATCCACGGCTCGATCCCTTTGTTCAAATCTCTTGATGACAGACTCAGGGCTAGAAACATATTGGTTCCAGGTCAGAAAATATGCTGAGAAACTCCGACACTAAAACTTCCAGGTCAGAAATCTGGGTAATGCTATTTTATATCACAGATAATTTTAGGTACGATAGTATTATTTTACGTGCGATAATATCATCCCTAATGTCATATCTTTTTTTTTCCTCTTCTGTAAAGTATTGATTCTTCAACAACAGTCAAATTCATACAAGTAAACACACCACCGTTTGAACACCAAAGAAAAACAAAATCACATCGTACATAATCTTAAATCAATCGAAGGAAGAGGAATTATTGCGTGAGCATAGTGCTGTAGGCACAACCAATCAAAGCTCAAAATGACACTTCTAATTGGTTGAGGAGAAAGAAAATCAGAGGAAAGAAAGAAATATTTGAATTTTGGATTCTAAAAATTCAATTTTTCCCTCTTCTTTCTCTTCATTTTCTCTTCAACCAAATAAAAAACTACACGACTATCCGCATTTTATTTCCTCTCTGTTTTCTTTCCACTCGTCCAAGAAATAGATAGACGCAAATTTTCTTTCCTCAGCCCAAACTTTACCATTATTTTAATGCTACTTGATTTGTGGCATCACTCATGCAAGAATTGCTCACCAAAGAAGCTCAACCAAATTCACCAAGTATTGCACATTCTACTCCCGATCATTTCATTCATCAAATAACATTTCCAATTTCCAAACGGTTCGTTTCACAGACCTGTGCTTATTGAGCTCAACAAACAGAGCACTCTGTTTGGCAGCATCTTGCGGATTCGCGTCGGCCTCGGCGATCAACCGCGCCAAGCGTTTCTCCTGCCGCCAAAACGGCCACCAATCAAGGAACTCCGACAAAGCCTTCTTCACACCTTCTCTCACCCTCACCCACAGTCCCAGGAAGAACACCACTACCGGAAATCTAGAAACCTCATTCGCAGCCAAATTCGCACTCTTTCCTGCGCTCTCTAAATCCACGTCACTCCTCACCACAGTTTCGGGGCTTTCGGCACCTTCCAAACACGACTCGTTTGAATCTGAATCCGCAACTGCACCTTCTTCCGTCGAATTTATACCCGCGCTGGCCTTGGGTTCGTTATCGGCTGAACCGGGTTCCGGTTCAGAGGGATTGGGTTCGGACCGGGAAGTTACGCTGTCTGGGCGGAAGGTGCAGAGGAGTGTGGAGGGAACGCGGCGCGTAGGGTGGAAGGGAAGGTGGTGAATGGAGAACGGGGAGTGGTTGGGAGAGAGAAATGAGAATGTGAATGGGAATGGAAGAGAAGGTTTGGAGAGAAGGGAAGCTTGAAGTGTGGCCATTGTTAGGGTTTTATCTCAATCTCAACGAGTCTCTTCTCTCTTTTTCTCGTTACGTGGAGAAAAGAAGAGAGGGTGTGTTGTTGAAGGGAGAGAGGGAGGGAGAGAGAGAGAGAGGATTTGAGGAAGGAGGAGAGTGTAAGAAAAGTAACCTTATCCAGGGATTGAACTTGGCGCCGTCTTTGTGTGTGTGGATTTTATTGCAATTTTGCAATCTCGAGTCATGAACGGCTTCGATTGAAAATGTTTTTCTTACCTGTTGGTGCCGTGGCCCGTGGACAATTTCATCGTCACACTCCCCCCTCCCGTTCTAGTGCTGCTTCAGTTTCTGTTCTTGATGAGAAGATTTTATTTATAGAATCATAAGTATAATTTTTTTAAAAAAATTATATTATTTAATTTTATAATTTTTACTATATTATAATATATTTTTAATAAATTATTATTATATATTAATTTATTTTGAGGACCTTCAAAAAAATTTGATTTTAAATTTTAAATTTATAATTGCAGATAACTTTACTTATGATAATATTATTTTTTCAAAAATATTTAATAAATCTTTAATTTAACTATTTCACCATGTTTATAATTATTAATACTAAAAAATATTCAAGATGAATTATCTATAATCATATAAATAAATATTTTATTATTAAATTTTTTAAATTAAAATTAAGATATATTTTATTAAATTAAAAATATATATATCAGTCACTTGCTTTTAACATACTTTTAAAATAATATTTATTTAAAGCGATTCTGTATACAATTTACGTCTATCTATTTATATATTTACACTTATATATCTTTCATCGGAAGTATAACATGATTTTATTTATTTTTAATTTATTATTTATTTAATTTTTATTATTTTATCTATATATATTTTTACTGTGCTTTTAATTTTGAAATATTAAATATTAAATAAATGGTTTAACATTTTAAATAAATTTTAATATTTTTATAAAAAACATTTCATATTATTAACAATATAATATAATTATTAATATTATATATGTCCAAGACTCACTCAAGATAAAATAATTGATATTATAAAAATTATATTATAAAAGTTTTTTATATAGACACTTTCAAATAAATAATAATGACTTTTTTAATATAAGTGTATAAATTTTTAATATTTTTAAATGGTTTAAACTATAAATATATTATTAAATAAATAAGAGAAATAGTACTGTGTCTACAAAATATTAAATTAACATGTGTTATGTACATATGATGATAAGTGTCAATTTCTTATGTATTTATATGAATGTATATCATATATCATAAGATGATATGTGATACACTCTAAATAATTAACTCAAAGTAAAAAAGTGTTATACAGTAATTATAAGATATGTGTTACATCTTGAGAACTAAGTACGTTAATTATGAACCACATTACCAAATTTTAAAATAGATTAATGTTCAATATGTGGCACTGATGCTTTTAATTTGTGAATAAAAAACATATTTAATTATGTATTCATATGATATAATTTTAATCTATTATATTCATAAAATTTATTTGTAGTAATTATTGTATTCGTAAAATTTATTTATATTTTTAGTCATTTATTTTTTTTTACAAAATTTATAAATTGGTTATTTGGTAAATGAGTTTAGTATTTTATTTTTTTTTCATTTAAGCTTTGTTTGAGAATTTGGAGAGAGAGGGAGGAGAAGGATTTGAAAAGAGAAGAAAGAAAGGTGAAGAAAATTAAATTCTTCTCTTATTTGGATGTTAAATACAGAAAGAGTAGAGTGATAGTGGATTAATAATGTACTTGGTAAAATATATTTTATACATTTTATTTATATTTTTTATTTTTTCAAAAAATATAAAAATTAAATATTTTTCTTCTTCTAAAAATTAATATTTTAAAAAACTAATATATTTTGAAACTATCACTCAAAATATTTTTAAAAATTATATTTCTATTTTTTATAATTTTTATAAAATATCACTTTAAAAATTAATATATTGTACACAAATTATATATTTTTCTTTCTCTGAAAATTAATATTTTAAAAATTCATATTTCTATTTTTTTATATTTTAAAAAATTCTCACTCTAAAAATTAACATTTTTAAAAAAATATATGTTTTATTATTATTATTTTAAAAATTAATATCACACATTTTATAAATATTTATTTTTTTCTATTTCATTCATTTAATAATTAATATGAAAAAAATATTCTGATAGACTAAAAACTCATCCAAAAGCGAAAAACTCACAAAATTAAGGATAAGAGAGTTTTTGAGGGTTTAGAAAAACTCCTTAACTCTTTCCCTCCAACTTAATTAATTCTCAAACAATAATTAAATACTCCTAACTCCTTCTTTCTCCTCCTAAACAAACTTTTAAATTAATAACATTCAGTTTTTAGTAAAGATATAAAATTATTACAATATTTTGTTGTTTGACAATGTTTATTATTATTCTTATATTTATATGTATTATGTTGCTTGTTTGATTAATTTTATTTAAGATAATATATTATTAATGTATTTAGTTATATTTTTTATTTTACTAGTTTAATTGTTTATGCTTTTTGTTTAATAGTCTTTAAAATCGAGTTAATTTATTGTAATTCTCAATTCAAATGGTAAAATATTTGAAAGAATAAAAAATTTAATATTTAAAAGAAATAAAAAGATTATGCAAATAAAACGTTGTATTTGTTATGATGATGAACTTAAGAAAAAATATATTAAAATTGAAATTTTTAAACAATCAAAATAGCATGATTAGTAAATTTGTAACATCTCTTAAAAAAAATATAGTGGTTTCTAAATATGTAATAATTAATGAATACCTAAAGTGTATGATAAATACTTTTGAACAATAATTATTTATGATAATGCTTTATTTATATGTTAATATTGATTTGTTTGGCAATTCTAAATTGATTACTTAAAACAATATGACTACTCAAGTGAAAAAAAAAATAGTGTAACAATTTAATTTATTTATTTTACAATTATTTTATTAATTTATGTTACAATATTGTGTATATTTTATTAAAGGTTGCAATGTTAGATATATTAATTTATTAGATGATGATCATCGTCATTATAATTTATCAAATATGTTTAAAACGATCATGATGATTTTGATTAAATTAAAATTCTTAATGGTTGTGAAAATGACCCTTATATTAAGAATGATTTTGATTCAATTTTTCGGTCAAGTAAATTTAATATTCTAAGTGATTATGAACTCCAATAAAAAAGTAAATTAATACATATATGAGTGTTAACTTTTAATAATTAAGAAAATAATACATATTATATAATATTATCATAATTACTAGTACATTAATAAGTAAAATATGCACTTCAAACAATAATAAAGTAGTATTAAATGAAAATACATCAAATCTTTTGTGTACTTAAATTTAAGTTAACTATTTTAAATATTAAATGTCCAAATTATGTTCTGGTTAGTGATGGCAAGTTAAGGCACATCTAGCTAAAGATCAAACATGTGAGTTTATAATAAATGTGTTAGGGTTTAACTATGTCAATGTTATATTATCATAACAAATTAGATTTAAAATTTATTTACTTATATATTTTAAGTATGTTTAAACTAAATTAATTTATTACATTTTTGTGAATTGATTTATTAAACTTCAATGACACCATACTACTTAAATAATTAGTAAAAATAACACTTTCAATTGGTCTAAGTAGGTATGCGAAAGTGAATCTTTTTAACTATTTTTCACAAAGAAGATGATTATTTTACATTATCAAAACTATGTAACAATCACCTCATTTTTATAGATTTACCATGAAATTTATTTTCTGGATGACATTGACACGTGGTCGCACACAGGTCAAAATATACCTAATTACTATAGTACGAGGTAAGCAACTAGGGTCATTTCTCAAAGAATCACAAGGACAAATTAATCTATTTAGAGAGTATATAAAACGGGAGTTTTGTTTATAAAAGAAACCAAAAACGCATTTAATTATAATTAGAATGAAGAGTGAACAAAAATTGAAATTCCAATCCAAAAATTAAGAAGAAAAATGACTACTTTATCACCGGATTTTTAAGAGAGTACATCAACAAACGATTCGGTAATTAACAATGAATCCAAATGAAACCTCAATTCGAACTCAGCATTCACATAAAAACTTTCATGCATTCGATTAGCACATAATTAATTAAAATTCAGAAAACTCTAGAACCTAATTGAATTGTGCCAATTTAATTTACCAATACCGTTAATCGTAGTTTTCAAACCTGAAAATCCAATTCATGTTTCTTAAAACTCAATTACATACATCAATCGAATAATACGTAATCAACCAGATGCATAATCATCAATCCAAATGAATAACTTCAATTCAAAAATATAATTAACAAAAGGAGAAAATAAGGAAGAGATGAAACCGAAATTATTATTGAATTTATGCCAATGTGAGATCAATCCTCAAGAGTGTCATGTCCCTTTTAATCCTTGAATTAGATGAAACTCTAAGCCTCCATGGATGGAGGGAAACAATTCATAAAGGGGAGAGAGAGCGAGAGAGAGAAGAGAAGAGAAGAGAAGAGCAAAAAAAAAAAATTAAATTCAAAAATTTAAAATTTCGTTCGTCAGTTTGTTCTATTTTTTCAGCTATGAAAACAGACTCTTTTTGGTTCGTGGCCTAAGGACAATTGTAGCCTTGGATGTCAGCTTCAAAACGCCACTAGAATGGCTTAATCAGATGTCTGTGGACTGGGATATGGCCTAAATACTGCAACTTGCTCAGGATCCGCGACCGCAGCGTTCTAACTTTTTTCAGGCCCAGTTTCAGCTTCTTATCATCAGAATTGTTTTCTGACCTCTCATAGGAATTGTGCACCTTTCTCTTAGCTTTCCTACAAATCAAGAATCACAATTAAAGGAGTTCTACAACTCAAGATATGGTCCAGAAACCAAAACAGTATTAGAATTTGTCAAATACTGGAAAAATTAAATAAAGCTCAAATAAAATTCAAACATCATAAAATGATCCAATTCAACCAATTAAGCACAAAAGAGGATTAATGAGCTAGGAATTAGAGAAAATAATATTATAAAAATCTAATTGATCAGACATACCTAATAATTGATGTATAAATGGGGAATACAACACACCCAAGTACTTTCCTTTACAAGTGGATCATTAATATGCAAATTAGTTTGTATAGCAACTTATAAAGTCGAGACAAGTGAAAAATATGTTTCTAATATCCACCTTTCTACTATATTAAAATAAGTCCAACTTTAGTATGAAAAGATGATAGTTGGACAATGCATAGAAATCCTACTTGA